AAAAAAAATGGAGAGAATCATTCTCCAAGAACAAAACCTGCCATTGCTTCCAGGGCAGTACTAAAAACAGGTCCCTGAGACCTTCCTCTTGGGATGCAAGCAGTACTCCTCTTTCTGAAGACTCGGGGGGAGGACACTCCAGACATCCAGGCCCCGGCACTCTGGAGACACTGGATGTGGGTGTTCTAGGGCTCTCAAACAAATGAGCAGGACTTGGGGCCTTAAACTGCCCCCAGTGCTGGAGCCCAAGGGTCTGAGGTGCAGTTGTCTCAGGGCCGCTCCCTCCACAGACCCCAGGGGAGGCTCCTTCCTGCCTCTCCCAGCTCCTGGGGGCTCCAGACATCCCTGGGCTTGTGGCCACATCACTCCAATCTCTGCCTCTATCCCCAGTGGCTTCTCCTCCATGTCCGCGTCTGTGTCATAAACTTCTTTATTGTAAGACCCTCAGCCATACTAGCTTAGGGGCCCCAGGCACAGTCTCAGCTTTTCCTGTTCTATCCACAAAGACCCTACTGCCAAAAACCTCAGTCATTAAGATGCAGCTTTCAATGCTTTAAAAAACCAAATTCATGCACAAAATCTGAGATGGATTTTGATGGATACCATCAAATTCAAGGACTGGGTCGTCGGGGACCCACCCTGCTAGGCCAATTGGGCATCCCTCTCCGGTGGGCGGTCCCTCTCACGTGTGGGCGTTCCCTCTCCAGAGGGCGGTCCCTCTCCGGTGGGCGTTCCCTCTCACGTGTGGGAGTTCCCTCTCACATGTGGGCGTTCCCTCTCATATGTGGGCAGTCCCTCTCCTGTGGTCTGTCCTCCCATGGGCGGTCCCTCTCCCATGTGAGGTGCAGGGGATCTCCCTCTGCCATAGGGGACCCTCTCTTGTGAGGGCCTCTGTCCCATGTGTGGGCCCTCTGGCCGGTCTGCCCATCCTCATCCCTCCTGGCCGGGGTAATGAGGTCAAGGCCAGGCCACTGGACATTCCCAACACCTTGTCCAATTGCTGAGGGCAGCAAAGGCCCCCATCCTCTCCGAGCCCCTCACACTAGCTGGACAGAGGTGGTGGTGGGGGTGTCATTCGTGTCCCTGTTCTTCAGTGGGGGGAGGGGATGGGCTGGGGGAAGGGGCCCCCTGCAAGGGGTACTGCAGTGCCTAGCAGGAGGTGGCCGCCATAACGTCCAAATTTCCCTCTTGGAGTGTCCGCCCAGCTGCCCAGCCCTCCCTCTCTCTCAGGCCCGGGGAGACCTCATGGCTCTGAGGGCACACCAACCCCTGGACACCCCAGGGCGGCCTGTACGTGACCCTTCTCCCCCAGTGTGTGACCCGGAGGAGCCGCCACAGGCTCGCACCTGGCGAGTGTCTCTGCTGATCGCGCTGGGGGCGCTGCTGGCGCTGCTGCTGGCGCTGGTGCTCTGTAGAAGGTGAGGCCCGGCGCGCAGCTCCCTGCCCGCAGCTCCCTGCTCCCAGCCCCCGAAGTCCGCGCTGCGCCACCCTGGCTCCGGCAAGTTTCCGGGACGCCTGCGGCAAGGGCACACGGGAAAGCGCGCGGACCCAGAGGGTAAGGGCTGGGACCTGGCACGTGGGCGTCCCGAGTCGAGGAGGGACGGCCGTCCTCCTCGCCCAGAGTGCTTGAGATAGTGCAAGGAGAAGCCGGTGACCTGTGGCCTGGGAGGAGCACCAGGCTGAGCTCCCAGCCCAGCTGTCAGTTGGAGCAACCCGGTTTGTCAATGAGGCCCGGGGACTGCAGGAGTCGATGCTCTCCCGCTCCATCCGCTTCAGCGCTCCGTAATCTGTAAAGGGGTTGCGAGGTCCTGGCCGAGGTGTGTCCCAAGGGCCAGCAGGGATCAGCGCTGTCCTGTCACACCTGCTACGCGCTGCTCTTGGGGGCCACCCGCTCCTGCTAAGGCACGTGGGATGACTCGGGGAGTTTCCTGGGCTGGAGGGCAGGGAGACAGCCCCCTGCATGTGGGCTGAGCCCTTGTCCCTTCGGACGCGCTGGCCGGTGCTGGATCCAGAGCCGAGATCGCTTTGCCCCAAGGTACTCGGTGGCGCAGAAAATCTTCCCACCCATCCCTCGCATGAAGGACCCCATCAGCGACCACTTCCCCAACGACAAGCTGGTACGCGGTGCTCCCCCTCCTGTGGTTCTGGGGACGCGGTGGCCGCGGCCTGGCCCAGGAAGCCCACTCTGTCCGCTGCCCATCGGGGGCCTAGGGAGGCCGCGCTCCCCGCCTGTGACCCGGCAGAGCCGACAGGGGAGGGCGCGTGGGCACCTCGGGCTCTGGGGACAGAGTCGCTCTCTCGTCTGCGGCTTACTGACGCAGTTTCGTCCCTTGGCCTGCAGATGGCCTGGGAGGCCGGCACAGCCGAACCAGAGGACTGCACGGTGACCGAGGTGCGGCTCGTGAAGGAAACGTAACCCGTGCGGAGTCCTGCACCGCTGGGTGCCAGGCGGAACCGACATTTGTGTGTGGGCTCGCGGGGGCGGGACAGAGAGATCCTTGGTGGGTGTTGTCATTTCTCCAATAAAGTGCTTTTTACCCACTCGCTGTTACCCTTCATCCCGCCTGGGGGTCCAGCAGCAGCACCCTAATGCCCCAGTCAGCTCCGCGGACTTCGCGTTTGCATCTGTCCTGTGCTGCGTCCACAGCGCCTGCGCGGTCTCCCTGTCCGTAGAGCTCCGCCGTGCGCCCTCACTGCACGCCTTCCTAAGCCCCCTTACGGCACCCACACAGCCAGGAAGGCTCCATGTCCCTGAACTCGTCACGCACGTGCAGGGGTTTCTGCTCAGACTGGAGCACCTGCCGGCCCTCAGTTGAGATTTGGGCCCCTCCCTGGCCTAGCCTCTGCAGGGTCCCTGGGAACCCGCTTCTGC